TGAATTGTCCTAAGATTATTATTATTATTATGACTATATGTATCGGCACGGTTACCCTGTTACAATCGATATCCTATCTACCTGCATAGATTTAAGGTAATAGACTCCGATCACTGCCCGTGTGACGATGTAACATCGCAGTCTGTGATACATATTATAACGAAATGCCTCATGTTTGGCAGAAAAATATTTGATTATGAAAATTTACTTGACATGGAAATAAAATTAGAAAATTTCCCAAAATTAATGACAGGTGAATATGATAGATAAATATTTTTAGAATATGCAACAAGCGTCCTGAAAACCATAAGTAATAAGAATAAGTAGTGTAAATATGTATGTATAATTAGGATATTATAGGTATAGTAATAAATAGAAGTAGTAAGTAGTATAAGGTAGTATATAATAGTAGTAGTAGTAGTAAGGTAGTAGTAAAAGCGGATAATAAAAAGAAAATTAAGGAAACACATGTACAGGATAATTAACAAAAAATAGGTCAAAAGGATGTCGCATCAAAAGAAGCGGCACATGTTACTATAAATTAAAAAAAAAAAAGATAATGTATCGATAAAAAAACGATACATATAACTTACATATATCGATAACTTACATAAGTTGTGCAAAGAGTACCTTACCTTACCAAATCTGTTAAATGCTTTCAAATCTTAGATCTTCGTACAAATGCACTGTCGTACAGACCAAGTCTAACTATTATTGTTTTGGGTTCTATTACGTTGGTAAAGTCCAATATATATTTTTTTTTTCATATATATTCCATGTACAGATAGCGATTGGTTACATTTTTATTAATGTAAAGTTTTGTTAATGAATGCAATAGTTAATATTCATAGTACCAGGCTGACAGGACAGAAGAGAGGTCGGTCTAACACGAGTATCATGACAATGGCGCATCGAGTTTCATATAACACAAGGTTAATGGTGTAACATCGATATGTGAACATCATATTGTCTCGTGACGTCCCACATTATATGGATATATGTATATGCTAATATATAAATCCATATAAATTCTTAGATTTTTTTAAATACAAACATTATATACCCTGGTTAGCTGGGAGAGAATGCCTTATGGCATTAAGCTCGTCTGTTGTACAAAAGTTTTTTGTTCAATGAAGATAAAAAAAAAATACATAGAAAACACACAAACCGATACTAACAATCATACTCATGAATACAAATGATTGCACCGTGCGAGGAATCGAACCCGCGACCATCGTAGTAAAGTGATATTCTTAACCGCTAGATCACCGAGACCGTTATACAATATTACGCTACAACCAAACAATATATATATAAAATTGGAGTGTGTTTGTAATATTGAAATAACCGTTTTTTACTACTAGCATATGAATATAAATACGGTACGTACACCAAAATATTTTTTTTTACAATTTTTGTCTGCCTTTCTGTTTGTTCCGGCTAATCTCTGAAATCGCTGGACCGATTTTGACGAGACGTTTTTTGACTTAAGCTACTTTTATTTTAGAAGAATATAGTTAAATTCCACGCGGACGAAGTCGCGGGCGCAGATAGTTAGGTATAATATTTGTATGCAAAACACCCATATGTCTGTTCTCTGATTATCTATTGTATAATATCTTTATTGTCTAATAGATTGTGGTAGAGACATCTTTGAATTGATTGTCTGATATGTGAATCGTTTGGAGTGGAAAATGCATGTCCATATGATGTACACACGCAGATGACATTGTACATCTTAGTTATACGGAATGGCAACGCATTAGTTGGCCTTTGTGGTTTAGCGGTGTAGCAAGCCTGACTTTCGATGGTCGCGGCTTCGATTCCTCGCACTGTATAAACATTTGTTTTCATGAGTATGATTGTTTGTGTCGATCTGGATGTTTTCTATGTATAATATACATGTATATCTATTTACAAAAAAAAATGTATCTGTATTTAAATCAGTTGTCTAGTACCCATAAGACAAGCTCTGCTAAACTAGTGACTAGATGGCGTTGTGTAAATTTTCTAGGGATATATATTTATTTATGTATCATTGCACTATTATGATATAGTAATTAATTTACCACTCATAATATGCACTTTATTATGTATATAAGGTATAGCAACGTGAAAAACAGGTGGACGTTTTAATATAATTCATTCGCATTTGGTATATTCATCAATTTTGTAATTTGCTTTATTTCCCAGCATTTGTTTTAACTACTAATATTACTTTATTAGTGGGTGCGATCGTGTTTCACGTGACTTGATAGCTTTGGTGCTGTTCACATATGTATATAGGCGATGGTTACCACTGGCAATTTGTTTTTATTCCATAAAAACTAAAACTCTATTTCTATTCATAGAAACACTATGAGATTTGATAATTGGAGTAGTATTTTTTTTGGAAATTGTCAATTAGATACAAACATTCCAAAAATACAAGACTGACTTCTTTATATATTTTTTTAATACTATGGAAGCGTCTATCCCGTACCTGCGTGATAGGGCTTCCTGGGCTCCTTAACACTGGCCAGGGTCCAAGTGATGTTTTTACTTTCTTTCACATACTTTTTCGCTCAATTTGTAATTCATTTTTTATTATAATTAAGGAACGTACGCGCGCGAGACAAGGCGGTCCGTATTGTCATAGGTAAGGGAAAAAAATGGGGGGACAGGAACGTAAATAGTCATTATCATTACATAATATAAAATAAAATCGCAGTCGCTGTCTGTCTCTATGTATGCTTAAATCTTTAAAACTACGCAACGGATTTTGAAGCGGTTTTTTTAATAGATAGATTCAAGAGTAAGGTTTATATATATATGTATATATACATACTAAGACGGGACGAATAGGTAATAATAGATATAAAAACAAGAGATGCGATATCTCTCTTTCCACTCGAGACAGTGTGTAGTTATATAGTCACTATGTAATTACGCAATTCTGCATAATTACCCGGTGCATCAGTGAACGGGCGTGACGAGTCATGCGTTATGATAATCAGCAGACCTAAGTACATTTCAATATAATGACAGCATTATGTATCGTCATCGATATTTGTGATATACTAACCAGATATTGTAAGAAACGAACGTCCGTGGCTTCGTTTACATGATACTTATTATTTATTTTATTTATTTAACTTAAATGTACACAATCTTACTAATATTATAAACACGAAAGTTTGTAAATATGGATGGATGTTTGTTACTCTTTCACGCGAAAACTACTAAACGGATATTGATGAAATTTTACAGTAATGTAGTTTATGTAACGGAATAATAAATAGGATATAATTTAAAAGCATATTATATAAATTGGACGAAATATAATGATAATTGTCAAGTAAGTGTGATGCAAACGAAGTTGCATGGGTCAGCATTTTGCAACATTTGGCGGGCTTAACGCCATGCGGCATTTTCTACCAGTCAACCATAGGTGGTGCAGAGAATATTGTTGGCGGTATTTTATTATAATAAATGAGTAAATAAATAACCCTGGCCAATTGACACAGCGCTATCTAGTCCTACGGTAAGAAGTGCTTGTCTGGGTACTGAACAACTGATAAAATACATTAATATAAATATTTTTTAATATACATCGAAAACACCAAGACCGTAACAAATAATTATAGTACAAATATTTGTAACGCGCGAGGAATCGAACCTACGACCTTTGGTGGTAAAGCGGTGTGCTAAACCGCTAGACAACCTAGACAGTCTATTAAATCTAGTTGCTGAATTCAACTAAATAGGGTTTTGAGAATTGTATATTGAATGTTATAAACTAATAGTTTACCGCAGCCTTGCCTGTAAACGAACTGATGGCCCCCCTGAAGTATGGTTATGTTAATACTTTTCTAATTTCACATAGCGCATGTTTATGATAAGAAGACAGAGTTGATGATTGTTTGCTAATATGTAAATCGGGCTGTAAACGTGACTCGGCATGTTGTGCGCCTGTTATCCGCTACATACCCACCTCATAACACCTTTTAGCTCAAAGTCGTAAAGAGAATATAATTCTGTCGTACATAAAGCAACATACGCTCTAAGACCGATCGATCCCCCGTCCAATTTAAACGGGGTTCGAAATTACGACGGCCTGAGCCGAGGTTCTAACCCCTAGCGGTGCCCTCAGCCTTAACCCTGGCTTTCAGCCGCTCTGTAAGTTCTTCCGCGGTTTGGAGTGTCATCTGCACTCGCCCCTTATCGTCCGGTGAAGCTGTAAACGCCAGCTACGGCCTATAGCATTAGAATAGTCCGAAAAGAGCTCTAAACTAACACAAGTGTAGAAAAATAATAATATATTATTGTTTTTCTTTTATCGTGATTTGTAGTGCATTCATATATAAAGAACTCGAAGTTTAAATATATATTTTTAAGTCCAGGAACCTACACAATATCAGCTACAGATTTATCTGTAGTTTTAAGCTGATTTAGTTGCCTATTCACCTTTGCGGTACATAAAGTCACCTCCGTTTCTTTTATTTGTACATTTACTTTACTATACCTTATATATAGTATGTATTTGTAATTGGCAAATAACGATTTTATCTATCTGTCTACCTATATAAATACTTCAGCTGCCGAACAGCTAGCTTTGTAGCAGCTAGCTAGCTAGCTAGCTTTGTAAGATGTGTTCGGTTGAAGTGTGAGATAAGGTAGTCAAATTACGGGATACAGATGCATGACGCTTTTAGTCCCCCAGAATGGCACACGTGGTACAGCTGTCCGTGGTGCTGTTCACGTACACCCTAATGGTATGGGATAGGCCAGCCGTCAGCTTAATTGCTATTCCAATTATATAAGAAAAGTAAAGTAAAAAAATTACTTCGAAGGATGTCGCTTGTTGTGCAACACGGTTCGGTTACGGTTTTATTATATGTCCGATATAACTATATATTAATGGCCATAATCGTTAATTGTAAATTATTTCATATTTAAGACTTGAATAAAATTCTCTTTAAAAGTTAATAAAATCCTAATTAGTAATATTTTGTCCACAGTCAATGATCCAGCTAAAAGAACGCAAAGAAATGGACGAGGCATTCAAAAAGGCTCAGAAACCGTGGGCGAAACTACTACAGAAGGTGGAGAGGACCAGGCTGGAGTACCACACCGCTTGCAAGCAGGAGAGAACGGCACAGAACCAAGAGAGAAACGCCAGCGGGGATAGTTCGTTAAGTCAAGACCAGGTATGTACCAAGTAGAATCTGGAATCATTGTATCTTCTATCCTTTTCGGACTTGATTGATACCGACTTGAGTAACAATTTAAAAACAATAAAAAAACGCGTCCAATTCGTTGTATAAGAGGCATGACATGTTAGTCACCTGGAATGATAACGCGTGAATGGTATCACGGGTGTATAGCGTGATAACGTGATGTCTGTAGTGTTATTCATGTTATACGGTTGACGGGTACAGATCAGATCAGATGGGCCGTCAACTTGTTTGTTATTCGATATAAAAAAAAATAGGCCAATAAGAAGTCATTGCAAGTACGTATATGCTTTCAAAAAGGCTTTAACTTTAAGAATGTAAAAAAAAATCAAGTCTGAAAGGGTTATAATATCGTTTAATACTACTCCATAGAATTCAGTCAATTCGCAATCCAATTTGTGTTAGCGATCGTCAAATATGCCAAGCCAATTGACAATCGTTCACTTGACGGCAGATGGATGAGACAGATACGTTAACGAATTTATGTAACATTGTTTCTCTAGTACAGAATTTCCCAACCGAATAGACGTGCCCTTACCACCCCCCTTGGGGGGAGGGCATAGGCAGATGTCAAGAAAGCGTAGTACATTTGCGATTTTATAAGACGGTTATTATTATGACCACATCGGTGGCCGCGGGTTCGATTCCTCGCACGATGCAAACATTTGTATTCTTCAATATGATTGTTTGCATCCGTCTGGGTGTAAGTCTATCATATATGTTTACAAAAACAAATTTATCAATGTAATAATGTCAGTTGTCTAGTACCCATAACACAAGCTCTGCTTACTGTGGGACTAGGTGGGCTGTGTTAATTGGCCAGGGTTATTTATTGATTATTTATAAGGAAAATTTACTTGTCACATAAATTAAATATTACAAAACCATATTCATTAATTCTATCGGACACTGCAGTGACAGTTCAAAATAAAATCCGAAGGGGCATGTATTATCCCGGTTTTGGTATAATACATTGGTATAATATAGAGAGGGTCGTTTCTAGAAAGGTTGGGAAACTCTGCTCTAGTGTATGTACAGATAGACATGGTCTATTTCACTTGTTATCACTCTAGTACTCAATAGTAGTGATAACAGTAATTTATCTATACTTTTTTTTTTTTTTTTTTTATTGGGTTGTTTGGGCTATTGTCAGATGTGTAGCACCTGTAGCACTGCGACCTACATAGATCTATTGTGCTCGCCCTTTTCAGAGTTCGCTACCTAGACCCGTCAGGGACAAGAATTGAAGGATATTCTTAGGAGCGATCGTTTTTATCTCCTCGGGAAAGAGTGTAAACTTTCCAAAGGAGATATTTCGTTTATGCATGAGTGGGCTACAACCACATAGGATGTGAAGCGGCGTTTCCTCTTCAGTTTGGCAGAATCTGCAGATACTTGTCGTGCATAGGCCTAGCTTAGCCATATGCTTGTTCAATTTGCAGTGTCCTGTGAGGGCCCTAGTCATCATGCATATGTTGTTTTTACTCAATTGTAGTAATCTATTGGAGTATTTGGTCGAGAAGCCCGATATAAGGTCTTTTGAATGTATTAATCCTGGCATTTCTTGCCAGTGATTCAGTGCTTCTCGTTTGGTTATTAATTTGAGATGTCCCAGTTTTAGGCAACGAGGCACACCACAGAAGGGTTCGGGGCCCAGTTGGACGGTTTTTGCCCCTAACTTTGCCAGATGGTCGGCATTCTCATTGCCTTCAATATTTGAATGCCCGGGGACCCATCTCAGTATAATATTATTTCTGCTTCCTACTTCATTTAGTAGCAGGATACAGTTTCTAATAAGTTTAGAACGGATTTCGTACGAGTTAAGTGCTAGTAGAGCAGCTTGACTGTCCGAATAAATGTATATGTTCTGATTGATGTAGTTGAGGCTTAGGATTACTTCCAGACATCTAATTAAGGCGTAAGTCTCTGCCTGAAAGATTGAGGCGTATTTTCCTAAGCCTATATAGTTGCAGATTTTGGGTTTTACACCACATATTCCACATCCTACATCATCTCCTATTTTGGACCCGTCTGTAAACCAGACTAGGTCATGCTCTGAGTGAGACGGTGTATGGTTATTTTGCCATTCGTCTCTTCCAGATATTTCGATTTTGTAATATTGTACAAAGTTACACTCTGGTGCCATATTGTCTTCAGGCATTCCCAGAATAGGATCACTCATAATCGAGTCTTGTATAGTTTTTATGGCCAGGGAATGCCAAGATATCCTCCTTTGGGAACTTATTCTGAGCATATTGGCTTTCGCCTTTTCCTGTATGAATAGGAAGGGGCGTCAAGTCCAATAATGCGTCTAGAGCTGCTCCCGGCGTGGTGCTCATGGCTCCTGTAATAATCAGACAAGCAATTCTCTGTAGGCTGTTTAGCTTGGTGGCAGCTGTGGATTGGAGGGTTTTCCTCCACCAGATTGCGCAGGCATAGGTGGTAAGTGGTCTCACCACTGCTGTATAAAGCCATAGGGCAATTTTGGGGTTGATTCCCCATCTGGGCCCCATATACTTAGGAAAATATCTAGTGACGCTATTACTTGATCTGTTTTTCTATTTGACTGAATTGAATGCAGTAGCTTTATACGGTTATAAATATTTTGTTATTATGTCTATTATATATGTATGTCCTATCATTTCCTTAAATATTCCATTCCTTCCAATTTGAATATATTTCTTTATTAAAAAATATGAATGACTTAAAGTTGTATGGCACAATTACGCGTCAAACAAAAGATACACGGTTTCGTGACATATGTACATGGATTAAGTACATTATACACGTATTTCATATAATATGAATAATTGTACTTAGTTGTTTATTCTAAATGTTTTTTATGCACAACCATTTTGGATACATTGAAACATTTAGAAAATTTTAACTCTAAATATAACCAAACTTCAGTGGAAAATAAAGCATGTTGCATTTGATCAAAAGAGGTTGAACAGTGTGACAAAGATCGGAACATACGAATAAATACAATTATGAAAAACATTACAGTCTTTTGTCTGAAAAATATTTAGAAATATACGTAGGAATAATAACCCGATATGGCAACTATAACAACTTGAATCCTATGCTTGAGTGTTTTTTTTATGCATGATAATGGAATGGTGCACCCGCCTGCACCTACGGATTACACTGGCGGTACACTAGTGATAAGATGAGCATGAGGTCAGCTCAGTTAGCACATCGTGATAAACCAAGAATTTATCACAATGGTTTCCAGGGGGAACCGCGTGTGTGTAAAAGTACCATATCAGGTTGACCTCCTGTCATGGTATATTGCTAGCAATAAGATCATCAGTCCACATTACTAACAATCCTCTTTCCCCCTACCCAAGGAGGGTTGACGACAGGCAGGCGGCCGTTCAAAATAAATTGCAGCTAAAACAATTCTCTCGAAATTTGAGTAAACGAATTGATATTACCTAGAATTGATGGAGAAATCAATACATCGAATATTCCTCGTCAGATATAAGGGCAGAATCAATTCTCGGTAATGATATCTATCAACGCGTGATTGACGTATCAATTATACCAAAATGATAATGTCAACCCATCTCGAAAATAATGCAAGGTTGTAGCAAAAATAAACTAGAAATTGTAACGATAACAAGTAACGAAACGAGAGGACAAAATATCTATAACGTCATCAATAACATCCTTTCAAAATCGACCAGAATTCATAAGTTTCAGACCATTTACAGTGTTTATGCTTCTTGTAAAATTACGTATATATACCGGTCATTTGAAAAAATAATGGCTTTATAGAAAATCCCTTCTAACATAGTTAATTTAGAGAATGTAAAATTATGTAATTGTTGCGAAGGCAATTTTAATAAATGAAAGCGATTTTGTGTGAAATTATTTCACTTGATGCCTACAGCTACCTTCTATTACTATCGCCCCGCTCATCATTGACAAGGAATTCAGTCTCACATTCTGGAATCTAAATGGTTACGGACAGTCCAATTTCAGAGGTATTTTCTCCCGCGCATATTCAGATTGTGGAGTAAAGTACCTATCGAAGTTTCTGCTAGAGATTACTGTGTGGGATTTTGCAAAATGATTTTGTAACAGTATCTTATTACTTAGCGCCGCAATCCGTCTGAAGCCAACTGATGGCGAAAACTGGTCGACAAGATAGTGTAGAGTCGCGATGCTCGGCAGTGAGGGAATGATTAAGAAGAAAGTATCTTATGAGTATGCAAAGCTGAGGTTAAGCTTGTTTACCATCAGATAGACGGTATGCCATATATATATATATATATATATATATATATATGATAATGGTAATGGTAGCGATAATTATTTTTATTATCTGATCACGTTAGGTTTGATATCTGTGTTGGTTGATGTCACCTACCGATCATATATTTATGATTCACCCCCTTGGGCGAGTGGCGTCGATAACTTAGTACTTGAAACTTGTTAATAAAGTAAATATTTAAGTAGTGCCAAGAAAAAGTAAATAAATAAGTAGGCTACTGAATATTTTATTGTAAAACCTACTATTGTTCTAAATAAGGCTTAATAACTCTGACAGCTGCTAAGCTCGAAACACTGAAAACTGTAATTGCAAATGTCCATACGAATTTTCGTTTCTTATTTTATCCTGTTAAGTGCCTATGCAGATCGGTCTAAACGTGAGGCCTAATGCGGAAAATAGAATACGAGTACTCCATAAAACAAAACGTGAAAGAATAGTGGTGCACTAGCCTTTTATGTAGTTATTTTTTTTGTCGTCCTCATTCTATCTAGTCTAATATTATTACTGTTGTATAGATAACTAGCTACTCGCCCTGGCTTTGCACGGATGTACATGTATTATACATATAAACCTTCCGCTTGAATAAACAATAAACTGCATTAAAATCCGTTGCATATGTAGTTTCAAATCAAATCAATATCATTTATTCAGGTAGGACACTTTAGCCGCTTATGAACGTCGAAATTTTTGTATT